AAGGAAAAGTTAAAGAGAATTATAAGATTCCCCTCAAGTCCAAACCTGGAGCGAGGGGGCAATGAAGAGATCTGGTTGCTCTAGGATCTCTTCAGGGATGGAGAAGAATTATAGACCAGGGTTTGAAACAGGATCTCAGTAGGTAAACACGCGACATGGGCCTGGAAATGCATTAGAAGGAAGTGGTGACTTAGCAGTATGAAACACACTCGTCCAGTTTAAAGAAGGCCGATCTTTTCCACTTAGCCCATTAGACAACAGATATGCTGGCTCAATGTTGCAGATAGTTCCTTCCTTCCTCCCTCCCTCCATCCCTCTCTTCCTTCCTTCCTTTCTCCCTTCCCTCCCTTCCTCCCCTCCCTTCCTCCCCACTTCCTTCCTTCCTTACTGAAAATCTGAATTTCTACGTGAAACCTCCCTTTCTTTAAGAGTTGACAGCTACTTGTTTTTATTTTATTTTTTAAAACACTAGGTGGACCAAACAAAATACGTCTGCAAGCTTGTAGTGACCAGCAGGCTGTAAGACTGTGGTCTCGGCTGTAGAGAAACAAAAGGGCAGGAGGTAGCCAGACTGAGAAGGACCAACTGCTACGAGAGAGAAGAACAAAGAGAAGGAGAAATCAAGAAGATTGTTGCTTGATTTTCCTCCCATCTTGTAACTTACAACGCAAAAGCTTGCTGGTATCACCATCAGAAGGTGGACTTGGGTGGGGCTGGGAGATCTTTGGAAGCTTGTGGGTGAAGAATAGCCAGTGGCCCATTCTGGCAACTGTTGACTTTGTACCCTCTGTTGTTGGGGGAGAAAAAGTGTTGTCAAAACAGAAAGAAATTTTATCCCAGCAGCCCTTGGTAGGACATGAGATCTATTCTTTGTTAAAGAACGCCTCTGATCGCTGATAGCCTTTTTTTTTTTTTCCTTCTTTTCCCTTTTGACTGTGGGACAGAAGGGATTGAGCACAAACCGGCAGTGAATGACATCCCTCCCAACTTTGGGTGATTATATTCGTTAATAATGATTATCGCTTCTATGTAATATTTGCATGATAAACTATAGACATCTGGTGGAGTGTGCATGTGCGCGTAGTGTTTGTTAGAAAACAGAAGCAAGTTAAATGCTGATGAAATGTGAAATCTAACCGTTCAGACTAAAAATAAAGTCGGCAGGCTTTAGGATTTCTGCATGCCAGCGATTCTGAACTGCTTACATACACCGTCTTAGTTACCGTGGAAACACTTGGCTGTGCATATACAGACACAGAGTACACAGTTTGTTGGCCTGGCCCCTGGGGGTCCCATTACAGAATTTTGTATGTTTAGAGATATTTTGTAATAAGGCCCCTTGTGTCACTTATTAGTGATAAAATGTACAACTGCCTTCATCAGCATCAATCTCAAATTTGTTTCTTATTGAAACGAACCAGCACGCTTTCAGGTAAGACACAGAGTGTGTATATATAGATGTATATGATTTTATCTTCCCTAAAGTGTTGGGTTATAGTTTAACTTTCTTTTATTTTTTTCCTCCGGAAATTCTCTTTCTTTTTCTTTATCCTGCAGAATCGACTGAAATTTCTAGGTGATAGACAAACATGTATTTCTCAAGGCCAAGCTCAGAGGCAGAGATACATTGAGGGGAGCATGAAGCCTGGGGTTTGCAGTGTGTTTTCTCTTAAAGTGCAGATTTTAGATAATGGCTGATTTTCAGCATCACTGACATCATGAATTCCAGGAGTCCTGGATGGGAAAGCCTTTATCCAGTTGTAAATGCTGTGTTGTTTCGGCACCATTTGAGTAACATTCACTTAAAGGGTCTAAAAGTAAAGAGATGACTCTGATTTTTTTTTTTTTCATTACCTGCTCTGTGTTGCCAGGACCGAATGACTCCCGTTGATATTTACTTTCTTGGTTCTTTTCCAAAGTGTTAATCTAAATGTCTTCGGTAGCAGAGAATGGAAGGCTCTCCTCTGTTAATGGTTTTCTGCCTGTTTCAGGAAGGCCTGCAGTTTAACACTCCCTGGTGGATTCTACAGAGTTAGAGGAAGGACGTGCATTGCAGAAACTCCAGATAGCCTGGCGCTTTCTATGCAAGTCCAGCCACTAGCTACAGACGCCCTGGGCCACACTGACTGGTCTGAGTTTGAGCTGTTCTTGTAAATTGAAACTGGTGCCCGGTGGAGCTGGGAGATCTTTGCTTCTGTAGTTCATCAGAGCTGGGGTGGAATACTGGCTCTGCCATTCTTTCATCATGACCTTGAGTAATTCTCTTAATTGTTTTGAGTCTTTTCCTCATCTCAAAAGCTGAGGGACTACTCCCTTCTCCACCAGAACTTTAAAAACATTAAAGGGTATGAAGTTATATAAAGTTTCCAAAACACAGTCAATAAAATTTTAAAAAATACTAATAGTAACAATTAACAGTTAAGTTGATGACTTCGTACTGTATTGAGCAATTAATACATATTTTATTTTTGTAGCCTCACTATAATGCTTTAAAGTGAGGAATGATAATAATAATAATAGTGATATTTTTGTTTTACAGTTAAAAGAAAACTAGAGGCTTAGAGGAGTAAATACATGGTCTAAAGTTTACAAAATCAGTTGATGCGGTGTTCAAACCCAGGGCTGACTAAATTATGGGCATTTTCTACACAAGTAAATAAGTGCTAAGCACTGTTGTTAATAATAAGAAAAATGGAAATAATTGGAAAATTTACCGCTGCAATTTTTGAGGTGGGAGGAAGGATGGGATTGGGGCATTAAAAACAGTTGAACTCCCAGGAGATTCCATATTGATGGAATGTTTACCAGGGAAATGATTCCATTTACAATCCAAGCAGTGAAAAAAAGGTAGATTTCCAGTTTGGAAATTTTATATTAGAATTTAGAACTAAACACATCAAATGGTTAAATACATTGGTGTGGCTAGCTCTTGTCATGATGTATCAATGGTGGGATTGGGATGGGCTTTCTGGGATTCAGGAGCTGAACCTCTCTCTCCCCCTGGCATTGGGGCAAAGGTTAAGAAGAGCCATCCATGTATGAGCTCTCTGCTCCAAAGTGAGATTGGCAATGGTGGGAGCTGACACATCTAGTGCCATAGTTGCTTATTTGTTCAAAAGAAATTCCATTTACATTATAGATGAAGGTTGTTTTACAATAATCCCATTTACATTGTAGATTTGTATTGTTGATGTCAGAAAATCAAGACAATATAGCAAGAGTCTGGTCCTTCGTCGATAGCTTCATTGAACTGCACTGTCCTAAGTGCTAGGGATACCAGTATAGAGACAAGATTCCTGCCCTCTGGGGTAGCACTGTGCAATAGAACTTTATGTGATGATGAACATGTTTTACATTTGTGTTAAACATTACAGCTATTGAGCTTCTGACATGTGGCTGCTGTAACTGATGCACGAAATGTTTGATTTAATTCAATTCCTTAAATTATAAATTTAACTAGACACATATGGATAGTGGCTACCAGGCTGGGCAGTGCAGATCTACAGGATAAGATGTGGGATAAGGTGAACCAGTGACTGTGAAGAAGGCTATAACTTTAAGACTTACAGGAGGTGCTGGAGTCTGCAGCATCCCCTACTGCAAGTGGCGTAACTTCTGGAAGGTTAAATATTTTATCTGAGCCTAGACCATGCATCTGTAAAATGGGGACAATTATAAAATTATTTCAAGATTGTTGTCAGTATGAGCTACTCTACACAAGTCTCTGAATAGAGCTTAAAACGGGGTGGAGAAAATACTAGTAGTTATTATTATTAATAGTGTTGTCATTATTATCATGATTTTGTAACCAAAGGATGCACAGGTTGCTACAAGGGTCATTGAGAGATTAACTCTGCTGTGATTGAGGCAGACATAGAAGGAAATATTGAAACCTAATTCATAGAAGGGATGATATTTGAGCTTCATTGTCTACTAGTGTGAATCACTCAACAAGGCGACAGAGGGTGACTCAGGCAGAGCCTGTGCTTGGCTAAAGCACTATGATTTGAAGGAGTCAGGTTTGTTTGGGGAACTGGGGAACCACAAGTAATGAGTCTATAGGGTTGTGTAAAACCAGGGTCCTGGTGTCTCACAACCACAGTGGATGTTTGGAAGCATCTTGTAGATTTCAGTGATCCATCATATTCATTTATAGGAGGAAGTGAGATCAAATTTTCATATCAAAAAATAAATCCAGCTGCTGTGGGGGATTGAATTAAGGTAGAAAGAGACTGAAGGCAGAGAGATCAATTAGAAGGAGGTCTTGCGCAAGATGACTGATTTGTTTTATGCGACCACCAGAGCAGGAGCCAGAGAAAAGGCAAGTAGGCAAGGTAAAAAGAAACTTTATTAACTAGCCAATATGAAGGAAGAAAAGGCGAGGTTCACCGGCCTCCCGTGGCGGGGGCCGGGGAAGTCGCCCCGGCGTTCTCGTGCGAGGTTCCTAGGTCCGCATATGAGGAGGGGCCGAGGGGCAGGGCGCGGTGGCTCACGCCTGTAATCCCAGCACTTTGGGAGGCCGAGGCGGGCGGATCACAAGGTCAGGAGACCGAGACCACGGTGAAACCCCATCTCTAAAAAAAATACAAAAAATTAGCCGGGCGCGGTGGCGGGCGCCTGTAGTCCCAGCTACTCGGGAGGCTGAGGCAGGAGAATGGCGTGAACCCGGGAGGCGGAGCTTGCAGTGAGCCGAGATCGCGCCACTGCACTCCAGCCTGGGTGACAGAGCAAAAAGGGCCGAGGAAGTTCGCGCCCTGCGACGGCCCGGAGCGGCTTTTGTGTCTAGGGCCTGGGAGTGGGCGGGCAGTAGGCGGGACATGGGCGGGTCAGGGGCGTGCGGTAGGCTCGGCCTGGTAGGTTTCTGTTTCCTCGGTCGGACGTCATGTTGCGCCTGCGCAGTTGTCCTGTGCTTTTTCCCGGGCGCGGGAAAGTTGGTGATGAAGAACCCGGAAATATGCCATCTTAGTCATCTTTGTTCTTTGTTCCGCCCCGCCTCCGTCCAGACAATGACAAGACATTTAATAAGGTCAGCAGCCATGGTGATGGGGAAGGCGTTTATTTGAGAGGCAGGTAAGAGGAAAAATTGACAGAGATTTTACAGAAAGAGAAGTTGAGACTTTATACTCAAAAGCTAGATTTAGGTCAATAAAAACAACAATGATGATAATATTGATTCATACATTTATCATGCTTTTCAGTTTATCTGAAGGAGTGTTTATCTCCTTCAACCTTCCCGGTAACCCAATGGGTACATCAAAGATTAAAATTGTTAATGTGTATGATGTGCTTAGTCCTGGCTGTGTATGCTACTGAGTACTCAGTCAGTGACGGTCATAGTTGAGGTTATTGTTGGCCTTAATCAAGATTCTCGTTGTTATCAATGTTCTTTTGTTAAGAGAAGTGGATTTTATCCACTTGAAGAGGTTCAGTCCAGAGAGAAGCCTCGAGAGACCTTAGCACAAAAGAAAAGAATGAGGTACTAGAAAACCCTCAGAGACAGCCTCTCGTCTCCGGGGTGAGATACTAATAGAAACAACGGCTATCGGGTGCTTCCCAGGGCTCCCCCACCTGACAGAGACTCTGGTGTCCATTCATGAAAAATCTCTGATTATGAAACTGATCATCCGCTTTGCCCCGTGTGTGCTTTCTTTCCAGGTTGTTGACTGTGTCTTTACTTGGACTTATCCTTCACGTACACAGTGTAGTGAAAGGAACTCTGGCTACAGATTAAGCAGCAGTGGACTTGCATATTATTTCAAGTACTTCTCTTTTATTGGTACAAATTTCAGGGGTACAGTGCAGTTTTGTTACATGGATGTGTTGTGTAGTGGTAAACTCTGCGTATTTATTTATTTTATTATTATTATTATTATTGAGACAGTCTTACTCTATTGCCCAGGCTGGAGTACAGTGGTGCAATCTCAGTTCACTGCAACCTCTGCCTTCTGGGTTCAAGTGATTCTTCTGCCTCAGCCTCCCAAGTAACTGGGACTACAGGCATGCACCACCATGCTTGGGTAATTTTTGTATTCTTAGTAGAGTTGGGGTTTTACCATGTTGCCCAGGCTGGTCTTGAACTCCTGACCTCAGGTGATCCTCCCACCTCGACTTCCCAAAGTGTTGGGATTACAGGTGTGAGCCACCGTGCCTGGCCAACTCTGGGCTTTTAGTGTAACCATCACCCAAATAGTGTACATTGTACTCATTAAGTCATTCCTCACCTCATTTCTTTTAAAAAAAAAAAAAAAATGTTTTTGGCTTACTGTTTAATTCAGAAAGTGGGTAAAAAGTAACAAAACTTTCTGGTTGCTCCTTGTTTCTCACCTGTCAAAATCAGGATAGTATCTACCTCATAGCATTTGTTTCACGCTGGTGGTATCCTCATATATTTTCTATGCAGGGGGGAGTTGAAAGATGTACATTTATCTTTTTTCTGCCTTTTTTTTCTAGTATTTCTGTGGCTTGTGTGACCTTAAGACTTTGACCAGTAAATCTGAGAGGAATCTGGAGAATTCCAAATGGCAATAATCACATTTAAACCAGCTTTCAGGGCAGCTTGCCTTAAAATCTTATTAGCCAGGGATGGCTAAAAAGAGGCTTGACAAACACTTCTAGCCTCAGAGCTGAAATGTGTTTGTCAGGATCAGTCCGTGGGTGCTGACTCTTTGTACCCATTTCTCTAGGATGGGCAACGCTGACTCCTTTTTCCTCTGATGTTGTTCACTGTTCTGGACCAGAATAAATTCAACCATCACACCAGTACTGGCAAATATGCTGTAGTGGGCAGTTGGTGCCAATGTTGGTAATTTTTTTTTTTTTCCCAGATTTCAGAAGCTTTAGATTTAAAGGTGACGAGGTCTCAATAGCAGGAAGGGGCTTGCAACACTGTCTTAAAATCTTTGGTTTCTCTTGGGACAGGTTTCTCTCCTTTCCCACCATGATAGCACCTAGCCATATATCATCTCTTCTGTTCTGATAACTCATTTATCAGGCAACATAAGAATGTGAATTGCTGTATGACAATTTAATGTCTAAATAACTTAAGTTTGAGCTCTTTATATACTCAAGTGATTTGTTCTTACTTTACCTTTTATTTTTCATAGAAGCATTTTAAATAAACATCTCACTTTCCCTTCTGCTCTCTAAAGAAAAATTTATCCAACACAATATACCTTTTCTCTAAGGATTCAAGGTCAAATGTCAAACAGGTTCTTTGGGCGAGGGTAACATAAAAAGAGGATGCTCTGGGGTTGACTCAGGTGGGAAGGCAGGTTTGTCTTAGCACTAAATGCCCCCAGAAATCCTCAGCTTTTGAAACTACTCTGTCTGCTTTTTGTGTGATTTTTAAGACTTGCTCTTTTTCCTCACTGTAAGTCTGGCATCCGATTTTACTTCTAATTATCATCAACTTCCAGAAAACTCCTTTTCTTCTCGCAATTTGTGGCTTTTAATCTGCTTCCCTCTGTGAAGCTAGATTATGAAAGTTTATTATACTGGTTACCCAGGCAAAAGAAAACAGGCTTGGAGAAAAAGTACTGGGGGGCAATCCCCTAGGTCAAAGTGCTTGAATTCGAGAGGCTCTATTTTGTGAAATATTCTCCAGCCTCCCAGAAACCTGACTGCGTCTTGTTCATTGTTGCTCTGGTTTCAGTGATGGTTCCTCTTTCAAATTCATGTTGAAACATATTCACTAATGCAGTAGTATTATGAGATGTTGCTTGTGGGAGGTGTTAAGTCATGTGAGTTCTGCCCTCATAAATAAGATGAGCACTCTTATAAAAGGGCTCAAGACTGAGAGGAGCAGACTCTTGCCCTTCTGCCTTTCACCATGTGAGAACACAGAAGCAAGGCAGCATCTTGGAAGCAGAGAGCAGCTCTCCACAGACACCAATGCCAATGCCTTGATCTTGGACTTCCCAGTTCCCAGCACTGTAAGAAATTAATTTTTGTTCTTTATAAATTACTCAGTCCAAGATATTTTGTTATAGCAGCACACACAGAACAGGCCAGTTGTGAAGATTGATAACTGGTGATTCATTGTTGAGAGTGGCCAAAAATGGGCAGATAAAAAAGCATCACCAGCATTTTGATATGTGTAGCATTTGTTTGCTTTGTTTTGTTTATTTATATTTATTCTGATATCAAGACTCTGACCCATAAAGCATAAGAGAGGTAGGAGAGGAAATTCTATCTCAGTGGAGAAATATACATGAAGGCATATGATACAGAGACTATGTTATCTACTGGAAGAATAAAATTAGTTAAGGTAGGATTTCGTAGATAGTGCAAAAGCCATCTTCACACTGTTTTGAAAGGCATTAGAATGGGCTTCCGGCCAATAATCTCCCTGATACCCAGGTAAAAATGGATCTGAAATCTCATTAAAGATGTATCTTCTCCCAAGGGCTCTTACCAGGAGGGTAAACTCTTCAGACTCACATTGGGACTCTTGCTTTACCTTTTCTTCTGTTTTATGAGGATCCAGAATCATCAGAGTCATCATAATTTCTTCTATCATTCTTTATTGAAGTGAGTACTACTAATTCACATAGAGGAGTCAATGGTGGTCATTTTTTAACAGCAAGAAGCAATAGTTGAGTGGTTAGGCAAATATCAGAAGAAGTGGGAAAGGTCTAGAAAAAATAAACCAAGGAGAAAAAAAAACAATTGTGCTATTTTTTGCAATTTTGGACAAAAGTAGACTCACAAAAGTGGTTTTACAAACATCTTCTTTGCCATTTCCTAGAATACTGGCCAGATTTAGGATCCCATGGAAGGAAAGTTACTGTGTCAAACCCTGTGTAAATCAACAAGAAAGGATTTACCTGTGGCTTGTCTAGGTTGCCTCTTGAATGAAGCCCTTGAAATTAACGTAGAAAAAGCTACTGCCTCCCATAATCACTATCTTTTCCTAGTTAATAAGTATTATTACCCTATCACTTATCCTTATAGAACTATTCCACAAAACCTCCTCCAGGAAAGAAACCTTATCTTCATTGTTTTCTGAATACTTTGCTGAAGATCTCCTGCTCTTTTCCCAAATTGTCGTCCAAAACTCCTGATTCACCTGGCTCTCGAGTCTGCAGATCTTGTCTTCATGAAATTTTTATTATATCCAACGTCTGCCCAATCTCAGGATTCTCAATAGATCATCTTTGCCTTTTTATTTATCTTTTTCATGTTTTGTTTTGTTTCTCCATTTCTTTTCTTTCTTTCTTTCTTTTAATTTCATAGGTTTTTGGAGGACAGGTGGTATTTGGTTACACAGTAAGTTCTTTAGTGGTGATATGTGAGATTTTGGTGCACCCGTTATGTTGGATCATACGTAAGAGTAGGCCAAAAACTTTTGAAATTCTCAGTGCTAAAGGTTTGAAAATAAAGTTGCATGGAAGTTGATGTGATCTCAGTTGGGAAAGGATATAAGGGGTCGTGAGTTGTGTTGGGTTAGAAGTTGGGAAGTCCACTAATATGGCGCTATTTTCAAGTAGTCTTGGGCCTATGGTTTCCACTAAAGTGAAGGAATACTCTTACCGTTGATCATCTTGGAAAGCAATTATTCCTGGGACAAGGAATGAGAAGGATTAAGTGTAGGTGACAGTTTGGCATAAGTAAAATCTTTCCCCTCCATTTGGGACAGAATCAATGGTAAAGAGGCACCCAGTATGTTTCAGTGTAGAGAATGGTAAGCTGCCGAATAAAGAAGTCTCAGAGGCACAGCTTTGTACAGCACCAAAGGAGGGTTTCTGTCATTGTAAGATTTATTTGCAATATATTTGCTGTCTTAATCCCCAGCCTTCCATATATTTTCAAAGCTGCAGCCCAGACTCAGGTGTGCTTGAGGAATTAGGCAAGGGCCCTGTCCTCACTTGGGAGGTGGCCCGGTGTGGTAGCAACAGTGAACTCTGAGAGCAGAGCCACGTGCAGTGACAATCTCAGGAGGTCAGCAGCAGTGTTGGCAGCAGTGTGGTGGCAGAGCAAGGAGGCCAGAACAGAGGAAATGCAAGCACCTGTTCCTCAGCACACTTGAGCTTGCATTCTGCAAAAGCCTTAGGCAGCGGTGGAGCATGCAT